AAATGGACTCAAGCCATAAAAACACTTTAAAAGATATCACATGAAGAGGCCAGAGAAAGATATAGAGAGTGTAAACTTGAGTTGAAAGGGTTGGACTTCTCTGAGATTTAATATTTTTGCTATAAATATCAGAACTTCTACATAAGCTCACTCATGGATATACTTGAAGTAACTTAAGTGTGTTAGTAAGATAATGGTAATAAAACCTTTGTTAAGCACATTAGATATGTTAGCATATAACTTCAACCTGTGGAAGGCCATGATTATATTTTGTTTTCTGTATCTGAAACCTGATCTCCTGTTTTCACTTTATATGTTGTATGTTGTAGCTACTTATTCATTTGTCTTCCTATTGTTAAGTAAATAACATCTTTAAGCATGTTTAATTTTGTTAAGGTCATGTCAATGTATACTTTTTATAACCCAAATGAAGAAATACATAAGAATTATTCTTACATTGTTATTTATGCTATTAATGTCAACATTTTCATTGAAGTAAGAATAATCTCTAGTTAGATGAGTCTCTGTGCATAGTTTTGTAAAATGATAAATGGGACTCCAGGTGTCAAGTACAGTCAAGATGTATGTGCTGAAACAAGCAGAACAAATGAACTGACTCACAAGTACCACACTAACAGGCTCATTTTCTTTGCTACTTCTCATCCTACCATCGAGATAGTATACACCATAGTATACACCATAAATGTATTTTAATACACTATAGACACACACACATGTATATGTAACTTCTGAAAACATTTTATTGGATGCTTAAAGCTGTGCTGTCCAACACTGTAGACACCAATTCCATGTGGCTATTGGGCATTTGAAATGTGTATAGACCAAAATGCACAATGCTCTAAGTATAAAATAAAAATAAGACTTTGAAGGCTTAGAATGAAGGCAAAGTAAAAGGTTGCACAAATAATTTTATGTTAATTACATGTAGATATTATGTCAATATGAGTATAAATATTACTAAAGTAATAATATATACAAACATAATATTTATTTCATATTATATCTTAAAATAATTAACTATACAATTAATGTCAATCTTCTTAATGTTAATATTGATTATAATGTTGTTTTGAATTAAATAAACATTGTTTAAATTAATTAAACAGATGAAATGTGTCTATTGGGATATTTTATATTTCTTTTGAACAACACTATTCTAGGGTAGTCTTTTTTTTTTCTTGCAGATATTATTTGTATTTATTAGGTAAAAGTCTAAGCTGTGATTGAGCCCTTCTTCCAGGAGGTGTGCCACATACTCTTACATACATTGCACTCTTTAGGTGACAGCTTACCAAACCCCCTCATCTGTCCCCTCTCTCTTCACTTCCCCTCTTCTCTCGAATTTATTTTTTCTTTTTGTTTATTGAGTGGACATGTAGTAGTTCATCTACTAGTTTAAGTTATTACTAAGTATATTGGATACTTGTTTTTTCATTCTTGTGATACTTAGGGGGATGTTCTCCAAAACCATCCAGGCATAAACACAAAAGCTGTAGAGTATACATCTTTTCTTTTTTTTTTTTTTCATTTTAGATTGATATGAGGGCACAAATGTTTAAGTTATTGTTTTCTTTTCTAAGGTAAAATTCAAGTTGTAGTTGAACCCTTCACCCAGGGGGTGTGCTGAATACCCTGAATACCCTCACATTGTGCACATTGGGCTAGAACTTACAAATCACTCACCACTCCTTTTCCTTTTCTCTCTTTCTCTCCCTCACTAGAATATACTTGTATATTTTATTTGGGTCTGCAGTTGTTTATATATTGGATTCATATTAAAATTGTATACTTGGATGTACATTGGATACTTGCTTTTACATTTTTGTGATACTTTTCTAAGAAGAAAAGTATTCTAAAAGAATACTTTTCAACTCCATCTAGGTTAACATAAAAGATGTAAAGTCTCCATTCTTTTTATGGTAGAATAGTATTCCATAATATACATATAACATAGTTTATTTATCCATTTGTGAGTTGATGGACACTTGGGTTGTTTCCACAACTTGGTGATTGTGAATTGAGCTACAATAAATTTCCTAGTGCAAATGTCCCTATGATAAAATGTTTTTTTCTTCCTTTTGGGTAGATATATTGTAATGAGATTATGGGATCATATGGGAGGTCTACTTTGAACAGTTTGACAATTCTCCATATTTCTTTCCAAAGAGCCTTTATTAGTTTTCAATCCACTACAGTGCAAGAGTGTTCCCTTCTCTCCACATCTATGCCAGCATCTGAAGCTTGAGGACTTTGTGAGTGGGCTAAACTCACTAGGGTTAGATAATATCTCAGGGTGGTTTTGATTTGAATTTCTCTGCTACTTAGGGACAACTAATATTTTTTTGTGTGTTATTGGCCATTTGTCCTTCTTGGGAGAAGTTTCTGTTCATGGATCTTGCAAAATGATAAATGGAGTTGTTTGGTTTTTTAAAAATATTGATATAAATGTTGTTTTGAATTAAACAAATACATTATCTAAGTTAACACATTAAATTTTTCTACTGGAACATTACATTTTTTTGAACATTTTTTTCTGGGATGTTCTAATTAACATATAAAAGAAAAACATAGAAAGGGAAGCAGGAATAGCCATGATCATTCTTTCATGGAACAGAATTTCTCAAATACTCTTGTCATGGCCCCCAGGACTTCCTTATTCCTAAGGCTATAGATAATGGGATTGAGCATGGGAGTGAGGATGGTGTAGAAGACTGCCAGGATCTTATCTTCTTCTGGTGAGCGAAAACTCTTAGGGCGAAGATAGGTGTAGAGAAAAGGTGCATAGTATAAGGTCACTATAGTTAAATGTGTTGAACAGGTGGTGAAGGCTTTTTTTCTCCCCTCTTTTGAGTGCATATGGTAGACAGCAAATAGGACCTGGCCATAGGAGGCAGTGATGCACAGGAAGGGAAGAAGGAGAAGGAGGGTAACACTCACAAAAACCATGTACTCGTAGGCCCATGTGTCCAAACAAGCAAGAGACAGCATGGCGGGGACATCACAGAAGAAATGATCAATAGCTCTAGACCTACAGTAAGGAATATGGAGGGCATAGACTGTATGTGCCAAGGAGTTGATGGACCCTATTATCCAAGATCCTATGATCATCTTCACACACATCCTTTTACTCATGCGGATGGGATAATGAAGGGGGTGGCAAATGGCCACATAACGGTCATAGGCCATGGATGCCAGGAGTAAGTCTTCAGAAGCAGCCATAGTCAAGAAGAAGAAGATTTGTACTCCACATCCCAGGAAAGAGATACTTTTCTGACCAGAGAGGAAGTTGAAAGCCATCTTGGGGACAGTGGTGGAGATGTACATCAGGTCAGCAAAGGAAAGCTGGCTAAGCAGAAAATACATGGGCACGTGGAGTTGGCGATCCACATGTATGAGGTAAATCATAGTCAAATTACCCACTGCGGCGAGGAAGAATATGAGAATTACAAGGAACAAGAGAAGAAGGCCAGTTTGATTTGGGGGAAACAACCCCAACAAAACGAAATCACTTAAAGTATGATTCCATTTCTCCATGAAAACTTATTGCTTGAACTTCCTTGAGGGAAAAATAAACACAAAAATGAAATGAAACAGAACAAGAAATAAAATGAGCTGATTTGTTATAAAACAAGGAACTGTTTACATCTCTGTAACTTTAGATGAGTCGATTTCAATATCTTAATTGAAAGTTCCCTTTATGACTATGTTGATAACATACAACTCTCAGCAAGTCATAGGTATAAATGTGTTCTTTCTATATAGTCTAGCACCAGAGACAGCCAAAATAAATAAGGTAATGAAAGCGTTCCTTTCTAGATATCTCCTGGCAAGACACATCACTCATAACTTACCAACAAGTCACAGGAACTGAGAAAGGGAGAAATACCTGCATTCCTCAGTGTCTCAATTAAATGGGGTTTATTTACCATAGAGCTGACCTGTACTATGCAGAAGCAGAGTCCTCACCCACCTATCCCTCTTCTTCTCTAATTTCTGGTTTCTCTTCCCTGCTGACTCCAGCCAGATCAACCTTAACCTTCATTTTCTGCTTGAGATTCAGCCTCTCATTTTCTTTAAAGGCATTTCTGTGCCTTTTCTAAAAATGTGCCCAACATCCAAAATCATTGCCCTTGAGTTGTAAAATATTGTATGATCTTTAAGATCCACCCTAAAAACAAAATATTACTCAGATATTCTTTCTTCCATAGAAATGTTTCTTCTTTCTGAAGCCCTCTAGAACTCAAAATTAAATGCATATAGTTTCATACACAGTTTTGTTCATGTAAGTAAATTAAACATAATAAGGGTCACAGATTATATAACATGTACTTTTTCATTCTGTTTTCCACAGCTGTAAACTATAACTAGTCTGATAAGAGAACTACAACAGAGGAATGATTGCAGTGGGTATGTATGTTTATGTATGTATCTCATTTCTCTCTGTATAGACATGCATATACACATGTATGTATATATTTACATATGTATATCTATTCTCTTCCTGTATCTATCCATCTTGAGATACCATAAATTATATGACCTGCTCTTCACATTTCTTTATTTGTAATAATCATTTCACAACAAAAATTCTATAAATTTATTCACTGCTTCATTCTTTTCTCTAATATTAAAAGTAGTATTCATAAATTTGAAAATAACCTTATCAAATGCCATAAATTATTGGATGAGATTTAGAACTTGTGTGGATACTTTAAATTTCTGATTATTTCAATCTCTCAAATTAAAAATTTTTTTTGTTAAATGCCCTACTGTGTGTACAATAGTTCTTCAAATCAAATTGGGTTGCATACTGCAAAATGAATAATTTTTCACCAGTAAACAGCAGCAATTAATAATTTGTTGAAATTATTCACATGTAGTAATTAAAATTAACTATTATTTCATATAACCTTGGTAAGCATGGGTAAAATTGTGAAAGAAAATTTACCATAGAGAAATAAGACTTCATGTTTATAGTGGTCTAACTGATAAACACTAAGAGTGAAAAGTGCATCATCTGGAACAAGACAGGTGCACAGGATGGGCTAGTATCGGTGCTAGATAGGATCACAGGTGCCCTGTACTTCTTATAACATTATAGAAATAAAACTCCCATAGAAATAGAAACCGATAACATGAAAGAAAAAAATAAAGCATACAATCATTACCTTAAAAACTATTCCCTGTATTTCTGTTTAATGGCAGTGCTTCTCTGTGCCAACATGCTCTGGTGATTAAAATACATAGATTCTACAACTTGTATTTAAAATTTAGTGGGTAATACAGACAATAGACCAATAAATTCAAACATTATACCTGATGCTGTGTCGTAATTAGTACTATAAAAAAAATAAAAGGACAGAGAGACAGTTGGATAATAGCCTGGAAAAAGCCACTAGAATAAGGCTTGAGCAAGCCTGGTTAAAAACTACTTTTCTCAGAGTGAATAGCAAGTGTAAAACCCTAAATGAAAATCAATTTTGATTATCAGGAAAATAGTCTTGAGATGAATATTTTCAAATCACAGGACTTAGGGACATTTGTGTAGGAAATAAGGACTTAGATTTTGTTCTGGATAAGAAGAGTGGCTAGCAAGTATGGAAGGATCTTAGTTACGGGTCTAGAACTACACAGGTGTGTAGAGAGTTGTGAGGAGATGGAGTAAATGGAGGAGGTGAGTTATGAAGGAATCAAAGCAGCTGGAGTTCATTCTGGGTTTAATAGAGAAAAGCATGCACCTTGAGGACCCCCTGAGGCCTGGAAACATCAGGACAGTTGGGTGGTACTTGAAAATTTCTGTGTCTACTGCCATGCACAATGACTACAGCATCTACTTGATGAAACGAGCACAATATTTGCATTATAAATGAATCAGTATGATTGTTCATACTGATAAAGAAAAGGCGACCAGACTGTTTCAAACATGAGGCTTTAGCATACATACCCTGGAAATTGGAAGAGCCTTCTTCAGTCCTTTGTTGAATTCTATTCAGGAGAAGAAAGGCACCACCAGCCTCCCAGGAGGTGTGTTTCTAATACCAAGCAGAGTTGGCTCCTTGTGTGTGTATTCCATGTGTCATTTTGAAGAGAGACATGTGTTTGTATTTTGATTCTCTGCTACACAGATTAAAGCTTAGAGTGTCATTGTTTGATGGTGGTTACTGTGGTAACTATTTTGTTTCCTAAATTGAAAACTGGAACATTGTTAGACAATGGAAGAGGATAGTTACTTCCAGTAACTTTGGGACTTGAAACTTTTCAGGCATGAGACATTGAAGTTGGAGCTTAAGTTCTATTTTCATCAATGCCCAGCAGTTTTCTTTATGGGTGTCAGAACTTATGTAATGTACTAGCATTATGGGAAGGATCACTCTCCTGGTTACAATATAACTTGGAGAACATTGTTCCTATGGCTACAGGTAGGTGTAAGATTAGTGTCTCTCTTGATCATTCTTATTAGCCTAAGAAAGAAACTGAGGTAAAATTAATATACAGAGTTTATTTGGGCCAAGGGTGAAGGCTCCAACTTGGAAACACTCCCAGTTTATTTTGGAAAGTGCTTCAGAGAAATAGGAGAGGCTTAGGTTTGTTTTTTTGTTTGTTTGTTTGTTTGTTTGTTTAAAGGAAGAATCATGAGAGAAAGTGACTAAAATACTGATTTTTCAAAATCTTTATTGTTTTATAGAAATAACATTGATTAGTGATTGGCTATATATTGGTGAACTATAGGGCATGAGCTATGGTGCCCAGCAAATGGCATTGTTAGGTTAATTTATGGCCACTTGGCATCAGACAGTCCAGAGCCCACATAGCAAGTATCTTCAAGAGGTTATTCCTTAGGTTAGGGGGTAGGGTCAGATGTGACTACAGTCACATTTCAGTGCCTCCCAAGACCTGATAAATTAAGGACAGCTTGCATTCCTCAGATAAAGTGTTTTTCTTTATCATCCCAAAAGTACATTACTGAAATTTATAGACATAAAACTCCAACATTTCAGATTGGAGGACATAATATATGTATATAATACACACAATTGCAGGGTCCTGAATTTATTTTGCAAATGTAACAAGTAATATGGCTGGGTGTGGTGGCTCACATTTGTAATCCTAGCACTCTGGGTGGCCAACATAGGGCAATTTCTTGACCTGAGGTGTTTGAGATCAGTTGGAGTAAGAGCAAAACCCAGTCTGTACTAAAAATAGGAAAATAAGTGGGGCATGGTGGCCCAGGCCTGCAATCTAAGCTACTCAGGAGGCTAAGGCAGGAGGATAGTTTGAGCCCAGGAGTTTGAGGCTGTAGTGAGCTATTATGATGGCACTGCACTCTTCATGGGGTAACAGAGTAAGACTGTGTTTCAGGAAAAAACAAAATGTAACCAGCAATGTATATTTTTATTTTATTTATTTCTTTAATTTTATTTTTATTTATTTATTTATTTGCAGTTTTTGGCCAGGGCTGGGTTTGAACCCGCCACCTTTGGCATATGGGGTCGGAGCCCTACTCCTTTGAGTCACAGGAGCCACCCCCCAGCAATGTATATTTTTAAAAAAACATTATAAATGTGCAGTGCCTGTGGCTCAAGGAGTAGGGTGCTGGCCCCATATGCTGGAGGTGGTGGGTTCAAACCCAGACCTGGCCAAAAACTGGGGGAAAAAAAAGATTATAGACAATTTTCCTAAAACCAATAAACAAATTATGTGTCAGAGCCTTAGCTAACTTAATCCCAAAACCTTTATATAGGACAGCTATGAAGATGGAACTAAGAGGGCTCTGTGTGCCCAACAAACAGTAGGTTCAGTCAGTGTCTGTGTCCTTTGTTTATTCCTTCCCTTAACCATTGAGATACCTCAGGGCCAGAGAAATTATATGTCTTAATTGAGGTCACACAACTTGAGAACTGCATATTGTATAATTCCAACCACTCAAGAACTGCATAGTGTATAATTCCAACAGTTCATATTACTTCCTTTTAAATTTTAAGTTTACTCATGGCTTTTCTATTTCTTTATGGAACTGCCTAGTCTCTGTGCAGCAGAAAGAGTTTCCTGATAATGGGAAAGCAACATCTTCCTAGTTTAAAGTTTACCCAATCACTGCATTCAACAGTACTATGACTCACCTTGTCCGAAGTTCTTGAATTTGTATTTGGGGAGAGGAAGTAGATTTGTAATGACACATTCTTTGCTAATAGTCCAGTGAACTATTTAAAATGTTTAAGCTCATTGTGTTCTCATGGTCCCTCAGGATCCTGCAGCAAACCAAACTGTATAACAGGAGAATCTCTTATCTGCCAAAATTCATCAGAAGAAAATTCCTGAGGATACATACATAGTAATATTCACTCCTTACTGTTCTTAAACTGGTCATTGTCTTTATCTTAAAATTAGAACACAGCTTCACCTTCTCTAGTGGAATATTTCTGTTTGCCTGTGTTCCTTAAAACATTTTATTTTCCTATTACCTTGTTGTAGGTATTACCTATTACCTTATTCTTTTTAATAAGACATTTCATCTTTAATTTTCTCAGGTTCTA